TGTGGCCAGCAGGTCGAGGGAAGTGATTCTGCCCCTCTACTCTGCTCTTGTGAGACCCCACCTGGAATACTTTGTTCAGCTCTGGAGTCCCCAACACAAGAAGGACATGGAGCTACCGGAAAGAGTCCAGAGGAGGGCCGTGAAGATGATCCGAGAGCTGGAGCACCTCTGCTATGAAGACAGGCTGAGAGAGTTGGGACTGTTCAGCCTGGAGAAAAGAAGGCTCCGGGGTGATCTTGTAGCAGCTTTCCAGTGCTTAAAGGGGGCCTACAGGAAAGCTGGAGAGGGACTTTTGACAAGGGTGTGTAGTGATAGGACAAGGGGCAATGGATTTAAACTGAAAGAGGGTGGATTTAGGTTAGATATAAGAAAGAAATTTTTCACTCTGAGAGTGGTGAGGCACTGGAACAGGTTGCCCAGAGAAGTTGTGGATGCCCCATCCCTGGAAGTGTTCAAGGCCACGTTGGATGAGGCTTTGGGCAACCTGGTCTAGTGGAGGATTTCCCTGCCCATGGCAGGGGGGTTGGAACTAGATGATCTTTAAGGTCCCTTCCGACCGTAACCATTCTATGATTCTATGAACTTCTTCCCAGTAAGGGTAACAGAACACTGGAACAGGGTGCCCAGAGAGGTTGTGGAGTCTCCTTCTATGGAGATGTTCAAAACCTGCCTGGACACGTTCTTGTGTGATATAATCTAGGTGGTCTTGCTCCGGCGGGGTATTGGACTAGATGATCCTTTGAGGTCCCTTCCAATCCCTAACATTCTGTGATTCTGTATGATATGGAATATCCCTTTGTTCAGTTTGGGTCAGCTGTTCTGGCTCTGTGCTCTCCTGACCTCTTGTCCACTCCCAGCCTACTTGCTGGGGCAAAGAGCAGGAAGACAAAAGCTTTGACAGATGTTATTTTGGGACTGATGAACTGAAGTACTTTTAAAATTGTTTTTACAGTTGGAAATATCTGTGAATATACCAGATGTGCAGGTGGCAACTGATGTTGAAAGTCTCTCTCTTGCATCTGTCGAACCAGTGGTACAGAGGGAGGAAAAGGTAAGCATCCTCAACAGCTGTAAGAACGTCCTTTCTTTTCTTGTTTCACAGCACATACAAAGCTAAGTGGACAGTGCCTGGCTGCCATGTCTGCTTGTAACAGTACAGCTTAATAGATTCTTAACTGTCCTACACAGATGTGAAGGACACAGCTATGGGAGAGCTATTTAAGTAAATATTGTTAGCCTTTAAATTACACTTTCAAAGCCAGGGTAACCTTTGGGCAGAGAATTTACCTGTAAGAATTAAATTAAAGTTGTAGACTCACCTTATATAGAACTTTGATATTCTTTTTCCTTTTATTTAAGGCGACAACTGTAAATGAAAATCCAGAGGCGGACAGAGGTAGATATGAAACAATCTTTTTCATATCTTTCTTGTTAACTTGCTACCAATATATCGTTATTCTTGCTGGAAGTTTGGAGGTTTATATAATCTTTATATATCTTATTAAAAACCTGCTCTTGAGAACTGAATGCTTTTATGTTTTGGAGGAGATTTAAACCATTTATTTTCTTACTGTTGTCTATGAAGAAGGGGGACCAAGTATTGCAAGGTTCTTTTTCCCAGGGTCAGAATGTGCCTTTTGTGTATCCCATCTGTCACGTTCCCGTGCTGTGGTTAGTTGTACTAGGAGAAGAGGAAACTTCGCAAGTGCTTACTTGCAGCTCGCTTGGTGTGTGACTGAGTGATACAAAGAGTGGGTGGATTCATTGCTTTGTTATCTCTGTGGTCTCTGACTTTAATATTTGAAACTGTGTGATAGACTGTGATCACAGTCTTCCAGAAGCAAATATTCTTTCCATGTGAGATACGTTATGGATCTATTAATTTTTCGAATAGCTTTCGCTTTTAAATTTGAATATATTCTCAATGCATCTTCCTAGGAAGCACTGGAAATTGAGTGGGTAACTGTCTTAGTTGAAGGGGGAAAGCCTACTTTGTTCTTTCAAGTTATTTCAGTACAATAGCTTTAGAGGATGGAAATGTTGTGTTGGATGTGACCAGTTAGTGACAGGCAAAGGGATGTATGCTGGGTACACATTAGGAATCGGGAGTCTAAACTGGAATATGGATCAACATTATAGGTTACAGATTTCTGTGATTAAACTGTTACCTCTTTCTTTCTCATTTGTGGTGAGCTGACCTTTGGCCAGCTGCAAAGTGCTCACCCAGCTGCTCTCCCACTCTTCCTCCTCTACAGGATGAGAGGAGAAAATAAAATGGAAAAGCTCCTGTTTTGAGATAAAGACAAGAAATTACTTACCAAAAGAGGCTCAACTTGAGGAAAATTAATTTAATCTATTGCCAAACAAAATAGGGTAGGATGCTGAGAAACGAAGATAAAAACTAAAACATCTTCCCCTTCCCACCTTCTTAATAAACTCAACTTCACACCTTCATTTCCCACTCCTCTGCCTCCTCCCCGCAAGTGGCACAGCAGGGTGGGGAATGGGTGTTGCAGCCAGTTCCTAACACTTCATCTCTGCTGCTTCTTCCTCCTCACACTCTTCCTGTGCTCCAGTGTGGGATTCCTTCCTATCAGGTACAGTCTATCAGGATAAGTCTGCTTCACCATGGGTCCTCTACAGGATGCAGTTGCTTCAGGGAATATCTACCTGCTCCACCAAGGTCTCCTCCTAAGGTTGCAGGGGAATCTCTGCTCCCACGCATGGAGTACCTCCTCACCCTCCTTCCTTACCGACCTTGGCATTTGCAGGGTTGTTTCTGACACTTTCCTTCACTCTTCGCTGCTGTGCAACGTTTTCTCTTTCTTAAATATGTTTCCCAAAGGTGCCACCGTCTTGGCTGATAGGCTCAGATGTGTTCTGCAGTGGGTCAGTTGGAACCAGCTTTGTCCAGGGCAGCTCCCCTGCTGCCAACACCTTGCCACCTGTACCCAGTACACCGTTGAAGGGAATAATCTTGTGGCTCAGTGTTTTTACAATAGTTTGAATTTAGTGGAGCAGAATTGCTGCCTGTCTACCATCATCTTTATCCGTGAATGGCAACAATTTAAAAAATACTTACTTTACTATATTGATGATAGTGTCAAATTCTTTTTGAATATGGAGAAGTGAGTTTCTGGTTGATGTGCTTAAGACTTACATGTGTGAACAACTTTGCAGGAATTAGTGATGGAAGCACTGAAGCTGCCATGACTTTACTTGCAATGGGTGATCCAATGTTCCAGTTAAAAACAAGCACTGAAGGTATGATCTGATTTATGGGACAAAGCCTTGCGTGTACTTTCTGGGTCCACATAACGGGGGATGGAGCAGTGGCTGCAAAGCTTTTCCACATGCTGCTGTATGGCAAGAGGTCTTTTATGCTTTTAGTCTTTGTGAATTGTAACGCGTAGCGAGACTAGGCAGTGCAGGTTGGCTGGAAAGAGTAAGGCACCTTACTGGGTACTGCCAACTGCATCACTGTGCTAGAAAGATGTTTCTAAGACCTGTTTTAGGAACAAGGAATTCGAATTAATTTGGTCACATAAATTGGACTAGAAAGGAATCAGGCTTACAGACAACTGTAACTATTTGTGGTCTTTTCAGGCCTTCAACCTGAAGCATAGCTTTTTCCACCTAATTAGCTACAACCTGAAATTACCTTAGTTTAGTCTAGTTTTTTGTCAACTTTCATTTAGAATTTGTTATCTGGTTTAATTGGTTGAATGTTAGTTTCTGCATTCTTGCTATCAAAAGTGTGATCTTAGGAGCGCATTTACCTGGGATTTGAATCTGCATCTTTGGAGAATGCAGACTTTGTTAATGACGTTTGAAATTCAGTATCTGTAAAATAGCTTTATATTCATGCGAAACTTCAGTCTTCTAAATTATGCTTTTCTGTTCTGTTTATTGTTCTGATCAGAATGGACACACTTGTTACCTGCTCAGGATGAGCTGGACATGGCCAGTAGCCTTGTAACCCACGCCTACTCCAAACAGAATAGAACTCCTAGTCAGGATTTACTTTCTTCAGATGCTTCTACCAAGGAATTGATCCCTTCTGAGGATGGAAGCAACATTAATGTAGATGATCAAAGCACTGGCGCAAGAATAGGTGTCGAAGAATATCTTGAGAAAAATGCTACGGATACCAGGTTAAATCACTACTTCATTGAGAGAGATGCTCTGACACTACTTACTTTTGCTAGGTTCTTTCAGGCGTTTTTATTGAATTGCAAACAGTCTTGCTTTAGCAAAGGTTTCTCAAATTATGTAATTTGGTATGTAATCTGGAAAACCCCACTTGTCTCTTTCTTAAGACTTTTATGAGATGTTGGTATGTAATTTTAAGGATGTAGAAGTTGTTCTTCACTCCTGAAGTTAAGTTTACCCTGGTAGGGGATAAAAGAATATTCAGACTTAGTTAGTATGGATTACTGTTAATTACCAAGCTTATTTTTCCAAAGTACTTTACAGCTAATCAGGCAAATTGCTTAAGTGTCACTGCTGGTGTGGGATACAGATAAAAGATTTAGAGTGAAGGGATGTCAAGGAACCAGTTGATCTTCTATCATTATGGTTTTTAATGCTTTATGTTTTTTAATTTTGTTCAAGCATTTGTGAGTGTTGAAACAGCTTGACAGAACACCTTTTCAGAAAAAATCTGCTGGTGATCATGTTGCATTATTTGAAAGACTATTTAACTTGTCAATTGCTTGAACAAACTATCAGATTATACTCCTCTGAAAAATTACAAATATATTTTACCATAAGTCCAGTGGTTCTTTCATTATGTTATTAACCAGAACTTACTACTGTGGGATCAGTGTTAGATTTCTGATCTTCTCAGGTTTTTTAAATATTTCAATTATTCATTTTTCTCTGTAGGTAGGGAACATACTAGTTTGTAGTATACCTGCCTGTTCCAATTCCCAGATGATTTTTATTTTTTGTTCTGTCTCCTCTGCCAGCTGCAGCCTGTATTTCAGCTCTTCTTTGTCTCATCTACTCCTTCTCTCTTACCTCTTCTCTGCACATTGATCTTTGCTCAAAACACTAATTTCATCTCAAAAGTAACTGTCAAAAATCAAGTACTATATTGATGGCATTTTTCCTTTTTACTTGTAGTGATAGTTCTTTGCCTATAGTGAATGGTATGAGAGGCAGACTTCTGAAGCCTGAGCCAGACTTTGGAATATTGAGGTCTAATGAAAACATAATTCAGGAGTCACTTAACACCGATGTACTTGCGGAACAACTAGAGCGAGTTCAAAGTGGTAAGCCTGTTTCTTATCGTAGGGTTCTGAAAATGGTTTCTTCTGATGGATTGACATCTCTTGATGAAATGAAATAAAGCTAAAAGTAGTCTTCACTCTCTGTTCATGTTCACAGATGATGCATCACCACTGTAACGTAGGGCATCCATTTATGGTATAGTTTTCACATAAGTATACCTTTCAGTATAAAATTAAATTAAATTTGAATAGCAGCTTTTCTGTGCAGGTCTTAAATTCTGGACTGCTGATTACAGAAATACAGTACAATACAGCGTACTTTTTTCTATTTATTATTGTCTTTCCCTTCTATTAAACCTAGAAGGAGAGATACGCAGAATTGTTTTGGTATTCTTAAAACAATTACAAATAAAGGTGGTCTTCAGGCTCTTAATTATCTTCATATCACTGGCAAAATGCACAACATACCAAAGGCAAGATAAGATATGTGTATGTGTCTCATTTATATGAAATGTGTACATATACAGCAAAATTGTTAATAATTTTGTAGTGTGTTTATATATACACATCTACATATGTATGCATTTTAATATACAAAAGCTTATATGTAAAAATTATATGTGTATATATATACATATACACGCACACAAAAAAATATTTTAATTTTTATTCTTGTGTATCTTAGAGTCTGCAGCCCTGATAGGTACTGCAGAAATGCAGAAGGTGGAACTAGAACAGATCAGACCAACTGCAAGTGATTCTTCAGTTCTTCATGATTTTGCAGCTAGAAGTATGGAACTTACCAAGCAAGTAGACAAAACTGAGAGGTAGGAAGAATCATCAGTTAATATTCACTTTATTCCTAAAGTCTCTTAAAACATGCAGCTGAGGTGCACGTGCAGTATGTGCCTGTGATTGAAACAGTGTGCTTACAGATATTGTGTATTTTTATGCATGTAAGTGTACAGTTTAGACTTTTATTTTTAAGGTTTTTCTCTCTTGCATGTTGTCCTACAGCTTTTGGAGCTAAATCATTAACTTACGTTTGCCGTTTCAGAACTTAGTAGTCACCTGGCTGTTTAATTGTCTCCTATGAAACTGTGTCTGGAAGGAAATGTTAAAGAGTTGATCAATTTGGAAATGTTAAGCTTGTAAGGCTTACTGCTTGGTCATGCTTTTAGTGGTAAAATCTCAATGGATGGTGTTAGGGAGGCTTTTTCCTGAAATAACTTTATGTAGACTTGTTTGAAGATTATGCATTTTGTTTAGTAGAATGATGTAGTTTTTAGACAGGTGCCCTGTTTCTCTGTAACTGCATAAGCTTAATATTAAATAAATAATTATACAGAATTTACTCCACGCACAAGGTATCTTCACTTGGTTTTAAACTGACTAGATATATACCTTACAGAACAGAAGAAGAGATGGGAGATGCTTGTGGAAATTTAAGACCTGCAACTGCATTACCAAAACCTGTAAAATCTCACCTTGGACTAGAGAATTATCCAAATCAAAGTTCTGTGGATGGACTTCCTGAGCACAATATAGGCACCATCAACTTTGCTCAGGTAAAGAACTTAATTTAATTACAGTCTAGAAGTGCTGAGTTTCTGTAAAGGAAGAGGTTTTCAGTGCAAATGTACTCACCCATTTTAACGACCTGCTACTTCAGCTGGTGAGTGAAACTTTCTTTTTTGCAAAGGCATAACCAAACTTAATCTTTCAGACAAACTTAATCTTTGCAAGCCTCAGTTTATATCATTTCAGTAATAAATGATGAATGTATTAGCAAAATTTTGAGCAATATTTTGAAGAGTTTTGGTGGAAGGAGTTACCCAGGACTCCTGTGTTCATTATATTCATTTAAATTAAATTTAAGTTAAAACATCACTGATGGATGCAGCATTTTCATTGTCACCTTCATTTGCTTTTTTTAAAACAAACTTCATCCTTTGCTATGCTCTTTCCCGTTTATTTCAAAACCCAATTAAGAGTTTCACTTGTATTATCATGGACAAACAGTATGTCTTTCACATCCATTTCTTTGCAGTGGTTTGCATACCCCTGTTCTAGTATAAACAAGAAGTATCTTATTTCTTCATGAGAGAAAGATTCATTCTCAATTCTCTCAGGTTTTCTAGTGTTGCCCGAGATCAATGTACGTACAGTTACGGTGGAACAGCTGATGGGTAGTAGCTTGTTTCCCCAGTGCAACCTGTTGATGTGTCAAGGTTGATCTTACGTTAGGACAAGGTACAAGAATGATCTGGCTCTTGCAGGATTGGCAGGGAGTGTAAGAAGAGACAACGTGCAGGGGAGTATTCCTGTTTTTAGCAAAGGTACATGCCGTAAAAGGAAAGGGACAGATGAGTTGCACAGCTTGGTGTTTTAATTTGGTACTCAGTGGTTTTGTAATGGTATGGGGAATTTGTGTTCTTAGTGCCACTGAACAATTTGTTATGTGAGTCATCTCTGACAGAGTTGTGCTGTAGGAAATATAAATTTATTTTGACAAACCATCAATAGAGACAAAGAGCTATGTATAAATTTTATATTGCCCAAGTGTTTCTTGTCCTTGTCAGGCTAATATCCTTCATCCTAGCATAGCTAGAAGTAAAAGCTGACAAAATGCGATTATGATGATATCATTAGTTTTTTTGGCTCTTCAGCATGTGACATGCTTTGTTTCTTTCCTGTTTTCTAGAGTTATTTCTCAGATTTATTAACTCGTTTTATTTCAAATGTGTTATTTCTAGAAGGAAGCTTGTGCTGATTCTCAACAACAGTGCATAAGCAGCACCGAAGAGACTTCAGGTATAATCTGCTAATATTCTAAGTTAGCAAAAGCCCACACTTCCGTATCTTGCAGTTAACGTGAAGATGAATTGAAAAAAAAAAAGATTTAAAATGTTTTCATTGACACGATTAATCAATCTATTTCACTAGCAAAAACAACGACACACAGCACAGTGCCATTCCCCTCCCTAGGCTCTTAGTACATTTCATGAACACAAACTAGACTTGGGAACTTTTTGAATAGCACTTTAAGTTAAACATCAGTGGAAGGGAAACTACTTACTCTCTCCTCCCTGCTCTGAGCTCCTGCTGCTCAGCTTGTGCGAGCTGTAGCACTTGTTAGAGCCTTTTATGAGTCTCTGACTCACTCACCCATCAAAAATTGAGCTTGACAGAGGGAGAGAACCTCTGTAGTTTTCCACTGGCTTAGTGAGCTATTGTGGCTTATGAAGTTGTCGAGTGAAGGCCAGTGTCAGAGTTGTGTGAGTAGGAGGGCTGGACCGTGTAAGTGTGGAGCAGGGAGGAAAGGAGAAGAGAGGGAGAAAAAGGAAGAAGACATCCAGACTTCTCTCTTTAGTTGTAGTGAGTCAGCAGATGAACTCCTAACTGATTAGATGCGATGAAAGGTATAGTGATGGCTGCTTTTCCCTAAAACAAATTGAAATGGAGCTGGTTTGAAACCAATAACTTGTCTAAAGTATGGGTAAATTGCTGTGTCAGAATCCCAGAATACTTGCTGTATGTGGAAACTGCAGTCCAAAGTTATAACTCCTGAGCATATGCAAAAGATAGGGCTAATACTTCTTTTTAGAAAAGTATCTTTTATTGCAAGGATCTTGAGACCGAGTATCTTAAATCATCTTTAATTAGATAAAGAACCAAAGTGAGTTGAGGTTGGAAAAACAGCAGCTTTACATCATCAGGAATGAGAGCTGTCTTAGGTAATGGAGCAGCACTGTTGTTTTCCAACTTTTGAAGACTTTACAAATATTCTCTCCTTAAACTCGTTCTAACAGATAGCAGTTGGCAGTTATCTGTTAATGTCCATATGCTGCCTAAATTATTTATATTTTTCATTTATTAAATTAAAGACTATACTTCTCAGGTCCTCTTTTGCAAGTCTGCAGTGAGGGGAATTCGTTGTGTTTACCATCAAAACAGCAGACTCCTGCCATTTAAAGAAGTAACTCTTAATATCTGACAGTTGCAATTAAAGACAGAGGGCCATTTGACCACCATTACACAAGTTTAATTAAACTGCAAATTGTTCTTTAATGCTAGAACACCATTTTAGAAGCTCCCTCCCTACTAGGCGTTTTTAATATTCTTCATTCTGAATGCAATGAATAGGCTCCATGGGGGTGACAATGCATATCTTATCTGAAAAGAAAGGAAGCATATTGTCTTAAGGATATCCCTAGTGCCTTTTTCCCTGGAGAAATGAGTGCCTAAAATTTAATTACTCAAGGTAGGGAGGGCATGAAGAGAACATGTGAGTAATAGATTTTTGTTCTTTATTTCCCTGAAAAAAAATACAGTAGTGAACAATGATCAGAGATGTCCAGAGGAGGAACAGACATTCATTTTAACGTTGGTGGAAATCTCAGCTGACTCAAAAGAGTTTGATGCATCTGCTTTGCTGGAACAAACTTCAGAACCATTACTACCAGCCCCCATACTTATAAGCCCAATAAATGCAAGTGAAACAAGCGTGGCCGAAGTGGAGAGGTAAATGCTTTATTTTTGAGCAAAGTGAAACACTTTTTGTTCCCTGAATGTGCATTACAGATTAGAACTTCTTAAGAGAAGAAATGCAAGAGGAAATAATTTTAGCAGACTGGTCAGAGATTTAAGAAACTGAAAAGGGCTCCAATCAGTTTTGAGAAAGATCTCAACAGTGATTTAAAGTTAGTGTTCTAATTAACTGAGATTTTGGTGTAAACCTTAATTCTGATTTATCTTTTAAAACAACTCTTCCCTTTTAGTAGAAGTTATTTGTCCAGCCTGAGTCTATTCTGCCATGGATACTGAAAATGTAAAGTAATTGAAATGAAAAATCTAAGCATGTTTGCATTTTTACCGTACTTCAACAGTTTTGTAAAGTAGCTCTTGATTACAATTGCTCTGAATACAGAGCAATTGTCCGAGCAACCAGAGATCAGGTTAGGAAAGCCAAAGCCCTGATAGAGTTAAATGTGGCCAGGGACATCAAAGTCAACAAGAAAAACTTCTATAGATATGTCAGGGATAAAAAGAGATCTAGGGAAAATGTAGGCCCTCTCTGGAAGGAAACGGGGGACCTGGCTACCCGGGATATGGAGAAGGCTGAGGTTCTCAATGACTTCTTTGCCTCAGTCTTCACTGGCAAGAGCTCCAGCTGCACAGCCCAAGTCACGGAAGGCAAAGGCAGGCACTAGGAGAATGAAGAACCACCCACTGTAGGAGAAGATCAGGTTCGAGACCACCTAAAGAACCTGAAGGTGCACAAGTCCATGGGACCTGATGAGGTGCATCCGCAGGTCCTGAGGGAGCTGGCAGAAGTCATGGCAGTCTGGTGAAGTTCCCACTGACTGGAAAAGGGGAAACATAGCCCCCATTTTTAAAAAGGGGAAAAAAGAAGACCCAGGGAGCTACAGGCCAGTCAGTCTCACCTCTGTGCCCAGCAAGATCATGGAGCAGATCCTCCTGGCGACTATGCTAAGGCACATGGAAAATAAGGAGGTGATTGGTGACAGCCAACATGGCTTCACTAAGGGCAAATCCTGCCTGACTAACTTGGTGGCCTTCTATGATGAGGTTACAGCATTGATGGATAGGGGAAGAGCGA